GTAGCTAGCCTAGAAGTTAGCTCCGCTCGATACTTACTTTCAATAGAAGTTGCAGCCAGTTTACTAACATCAATCTGTTGATGGCGGTCAATCCTTCGGCCACTGAAAAGTAAAATAAGATTGGCGCAGACCATGGGCATGATCAGACTCCAGACAGGTACTCCAAAAGGAGCGGCAGTCTTGTACACAACCACGCCAGCGGTAGCTGATCGCGATGTGATCAATCTGAGTCCAGGCTTGAGATGCAGAAGGAGGACGCCAGGTGGCACACCGGCGATGACTGTGTTGGAAGTTAGTGCTGGCCAGAAACAGGTTGTGGTCTGTGCGCAGTGGCAGCAAACGGTCCCCGTTATCTGTCCTGCGACCAACAAGTCCCCAACGGCAACCTAAACGACTCTCTTCTGTGCCTAGACGCCCGACCTGTGCATTCAAGTCTCCGGCTAGTACTACAATATCTGTCGAACGCGCTTTCTGGTGAAGAACTGTTAACTGATGGTAAAACTCATCCTTGATTGCATCCGGGCTGCAATCTGTCGAGGCATAGGCAGAGATGACGAAAAGACACCGTTTCTCACGCCGATTTCTTCTCACTTTGATGGAACTTTCTAATCTAACAGCACATAACCGACTGCTAATGGGGATCCAATCGATTAGTGCTGCCTCAGCCCTAGCGCTTAGTGCGACACCAACGCCAGCAAGACCAGACGAAGATGTCACAGGGTTCCCGGATAAGCGCACGTGAAACAGACTTTTCGAGACGACAGATGGAGAGCGGATTTGTAGTACTTCACTAGAGCCTTGAATGCGGGTCTCGGATAGACAACAAACATCAACATTAAGACCTTCCAAAGACATAGCCAGCCCTATCTGTTGTCTGATCCGCATTAGTGTGCGAACGTTGAAGGAAGCCAGCTTGAACGGCGTACGTGGTTTCGGAAAAACTGCTTCAGTATTCATAATCGGTGGAAGCATTCACTTTCAACCAGACAGTGACTGGAGATCGTTTAGATAGGACAGATTTTCCACCAAGAGCGAGCTGCTGCATAAGTTGAAGAGTAAGGTTACACAAATTGGGGATAAAAGGGGGGTGAATTAGCGATATGGAAAATAATAATAATAATAATAATAATAATAATAATAATAATGCAAATTGAATTGTTTCTTGTATGAACGAGAATATAATTGTCAGCTGAATGTTTCATTTCATTTATTTGAGAGAGGGCTGTGATACTGCCCGGGTGCCCAAACTGAAGCAGGTGGTTTTCTTAGATGGCCACACCCCGAGCCTTTGACCTAGAGGTCTGATCCACAAGGCAGTGGAGCATCGTGAGGAGATGTAGTCCCATGGTAGCCGGTGACCAAATAATTGGTTCATACGCTATTTGTTCCTTCAGGATACTGGAGCCCATGTGCACCATTGGTTTGGAATCAGGGTTTTCCAACTCCCCTAGGTGAACGCGCCTTGTCCACCAACCCGGTTAAAGCGCCGGACATTCGCTTTTCGTCCTCTCACTTTCGTAAGCAACATCCGCACCACGAGAAGGCAGTGAGTAGGTCTTCCCTGGCAGAGGCTATATATTCGCGTAGACATGTGAGAGCATTTCGAGGGGGAGAGTGGACTCTCCCCACTCTCGGTCATACCAGGGCGTTTGGGGCCCATACTAGGACGAAACAGCTATCCGATCCTTCCAGGTCTTCTCATGAATTTAACTACTAAATGACAATACATTTTGTTTGATGTCAAGAGTGGTAGAACCTTTAGCTGACTTGAGGATATCGGTTGTAGCTATAATCTAATGTTTTCTGTTTAACTTTGTCAATATAATTCCCCCTCTTTATTTAAGGAGAATACATTGTGTTTTGGTTCTTGCTCATTAACAAACTAGTTTAAACATGTCAATGTTACATGAGGTCAGTTTTGGCTTAAGAAAGTCATAAAATCTCTGAATGAAATGCTAGATGAAGGAGTTCGACCAGACAATAAACATCAATCCCCCAAAGATTTTGAATTTACTACAAATAAAGAATGCCAACCAAAACGAAGTCTAGGTCATGTAGGGTTTTCTGCTTCCTATCATTCAACATGAATTACATCAATATCTACTAGTTAGAATAGTTATTTCTGTATTATGATTTCGTCATCACTACGAAAAGTCAGAATAAAGAGTTAGTAACTGATTTATTTGTATGTTACACCCGTACTACTACTATTAGTACTACTACGGTGTACGCCACTGATGTTTACAGATATAAGTAGTATGTATCACCAATGAAAAGCGGAATGTCTAGTGGAAGAAGGTTGATAAAATAGAAGAGAAGTGGACGAGAACAGTGAATGATTGATATGGAAACGAATGAACAACAAGGTCTGAGACACTCAATAGACATTTTGTAAATCAATTATTTACTGTATGGTTCTCCGATTTTGCTGAGATATTTTGGAATTTTGTGCTAAAATTCATTTGGTTGTACCTACTTGTGTTCCCGTTCGCTACTACTATTACTACTACTAATACTAGTACTACTATTACTAATACTACTAATAATAATAGTCCTCTATCAATTCTGATGACTTTCTGCTTGTTGTACTGGTTTAGTATGACAAGTTCTACCATTTCATTTTGTTAATTTTCCCCAATTCTATGTTGATTAACAAAAACCTCATTTATATATAAGAGGTATAATTTAAACCTGAGTGTATCTACTACTTATGCTCAATTGTTAACCTGTAATTAAATGTACATAATGATAACTGAAAATAAACTTAGTTGAACACCTTCATTTTATACGAAATAAGTAGATTGTTTTGGATTTAAGTAGTCTATGTCTATAAAACCTTCAGATTCTTATAATACTAAACTTGTAATTAAAAAATCATTGAAGTAGTCATAGAGACTGGTGTAAAACATAGTTCTTTGTAACTGGAAGGCAACTAATAGTAGTCAACTTAAATGAACAAGGAAAGATGATCGAAAGTATAGTTCAGAAGGGGTTTATTTGCGGATATTTCAGTATTTTCATAGTTGAAATCATGAGTCAATTGAAGCTAGACCACCATGGAAAACCTGGAAGCACTGGACGTACTTTTCGTCCTATTGTGGGACTCCTCAGCAATGCGCATCCATGACTGATGATTTCAACTATGAAAATACTGAAATATCCACAAAAAACCCTTTTCTGATCTATAATCACATGCTCACTTGTGACTGACTGTAAGGAATGTTTCCTTGAGTTCTAGTGAGAAGAAATAGAGACAAACATACATGTGTATATATAGGTGTCGACACAGATATAAACACATAAGTATAATAATTTAACTTTCATCCTACTATTTAAAAATCTTCATCAATCTGAGCTTATGGATGGTGTCACTTTTGCGTGTTCAATGTGTTTTTTTTTCTTTTTGTTGGGATACATTAAAATGGTGAGAAAAAATGGACGACAACCATGATGACCAATATCAATAGAAACATGAGAAACAATAATTAATCGATAGAATAATGAAAATAATAATTTTAATAACTTTCACAATACTACTTATAATTACTACTCATAAGAAAACAAATATAGCAGACACAACTATGAATGAAAGCATGATTTAATTGAAGCTAGACTACCATGGAAAACCTGGAAACAATGGACGGCCGTTTCGTTCAATTGTGGGAATCCTCAGCAGTGCACATCCACAACCTCACCTCGCGAGATTCGAACCCGGGACATACCAGTCTCGCGCCAGAGCGCTTAACCGATAGACCACTAAGCAGGTCGGCAACCAACGTTGTTTATGTCTAACTCCAACCTATCCACGAAGTTGAGCAACCGTTCGCCAATTGTCTTCAGTAAGTTTCTATCTCACAACAGACGTTCCTTGAACTCCACTGGTTACAGCTTCTCATTAAAACTAATGGATTTACTAGTGGATGCGCACTACTGAGGAGTCCCATAATATGACGAAACCGTCTTTCAGTGCATCCCGATTTTCCCTGGTGGTCTAGCTTAAATTGACTCACGCTTTCAACTATGAAAATACTAAAATTTCCACAAAAAGCCCCTTCTGAAAATATATTATCAGAATGTTTATCTACATAAATCAGTGAAAACTAGATTTTCTTGAAAAATATTCATAAAATCGATGTTTTGAGATTTTTTTGATCAATTTCAAATCTTCACTCTGAAGCGATGTCAACTTTTAAGCCGTCGAAAATCAGTATACATTGAATAAGTATTTTGTTTTAGTTCGAAACTACCCCATCACTATATACCCATAAATTATAAAAGTTTGAACTAAGAGCCTACTGTAGATTACGATATCATTGAAACTGTTTATGTCTTTTTATTTGTGGGATTGAGTACTGTATGGGTATCTAAATTGAATTAGTTACTATTCCTAGGAAGCTTCTCAATGAACCTTCGACATTAATATCTAATCCATAATGTAGTGAATCAAAATCATGTAAGGTTGTCCCATAATATTCGGTAATCAGAATAAGAATCTACATCATTCGTTCCCTCAAAAACTTGGAGCACATGAACATCATTAATTTGGAGTCACAAAAGCCCTAATACTATAGCTAGACACCTTATGTCCAAAAACAGGGTTTAAGCATTAATCGTCTACTTTTCGTCCTCTCATTTTTTTTAAAAGATAGGTAGTAAGTAGAACTTTCCTGCCAGAAGCTAAAAATGCATGACCATGTAAAAGTATTTCGAGGGATAACGAGAACTCTTTCAACGCTTGGCCTTACTAATAGTTTCGGGGACTCATATGACATTTTTTTATCTAATCACCAGGATGATGTCTCAAATGCCCAAGCTAATGAAGATTTATTAAGTCATCAATTAATTTATCATTCTTATCTTATACTCTGCATCTAACCATAGAATTAAGTTTCATGAAAACTGCTCATTGAATTAAGGACTTTTCAAAAATTAAACATTAGGCAGCTATTTCATCTTAACTTGGAATACTTAAGGAGTCATTCAGTTAGTTATAAGTAACCTTAAAACCTGACACATATATACATCAACCCATTAAAAGTAGTGATAATGTTAGTAGTAGTAGTAGTAGTAGTAGTAGTAGTAGTAGTAGTAGTAGTAGTAGTAGTAGTAGTAGTAGTAGTAGTAGTAGTAGTAGTAGTAGTAGTAGTAGTAGTAGTAGTAGTAGTAGTAGTAGTAGTAGTAGTAGTAGTAGTAGTAGTAGTAGTAGTAGTAGTAGTAGTAGTAGTAGTAGTGGAAAAGATTCGATATGATTCAAGAAGAAAGAATGAATTCATAGAGAAAAAGTTATGAATTAATCTCAAACCTCAAGATCTAACAGGATACAATTAGTGAATGAATTTGTGTCATTAAAACTGTAAGGATGGCTCGTTAGCAAAATCAAGGAAGCCTCACGAAGCCCAAAAAGAGCTGAAGACATTCCATCCAATCACCACTAACGGAACATTCAAAAATGTTGACGTGTAGCTTCCTTATTGGATGGATAAAAATGACCCCCTATGTGCCTATCGGCTGTCCGAAATGATTATTTACTTTCGGCCGAAAAACTATAAATACATGAGATTTCTATACTATATTTCGACACTGCTTGGGGAATAAAATTCGTACTTACTAGTCTTCTGTCTTCTCTCTTGCGACGTTGTGGGTTCAATCGTTCAAGTAGTCTGGTAGTACGCGGCATAGTAAGAATTAAAGCTCTAAATATAACAAAAACATATTCTGTGCTTTATCATTCATTATCTCTATCGATCGGTTAAAATAGTCTTATCGACATCAATCAGGTAGTTAGTGCTCATGAATAAAGCTTAAGGGATTATGAACTATTAATTCCGTTAGTCCTTACATTCAAGCATGATCGATGTAAATTCTTGATTTGACAACCAATAGTCTACATCTCCATTCATCAGTCAATTCGTTACATAACATCCTCATCATTAGGATTAATTATTCTCTCTCATATTCTATCTAAAAAGACATAGGATGAGTAGTAGTAAAGGTCTATTTATCATAATATTTTCAATCCTTAGGGCATATTCTACTATTATTATCATTATTATTAATAACTGAATATATGCATAGAATAAAATATTTAAACATGGGAGAAACAACATATATACTACTTAATTAAACCACATTCATGAATATGCATAAGTTGAAGCAAAACGAATATCAGTAGTATATATAGAGAGAACAAAACTAGTGTGTGTGTGTGTGTGTGGTTGAGTGCAGATATATATAGATTCTTCGGTATACATCAAGGCTTGAACATATATAGAGATAGATAGACAAGTAAATATAATTTGGACGTTATGTGGTTATCTTTTCTCTTAAAATAAAATATGTCGGTTTAGTTTATTGTAAAAAGAAATAAGTCAAACTACTTGTAAGTAGTAAATTCATTCAATCATTCATTCATTCATTTACTAGTCAACTGACTAACTAACTAATTAAGCAACTCAAATAGAAATATGGAATAGGGGCCAATATAGAATGAGCTATCTCATCACTGACGAGAACAAGCAATCGCTCCATATATTTTACTAATTCAACAATGTTCATGTGGAAGTGATGTGTTGCCTGAATACTTGCACTTTGTTTGTCGGTTTGCTATGTTTGTTCTATCAAATCGGTCTGCAACGTGAAACGCAGCCTCACTATCTCAACTTTGATGTTTGAATGGAGAGCCATCACAAATATGGTGGATGAGTTCTGCAAGAATGTTCAAGTTCGGATTACTACCAATAAACTGTTTAATTTGATTTGTAACATCCGTGTGATTGTGATTACGTTCATTCATTGAACCATCAGGTTGAAGCTTACGTAGACATTTCACATAGAACTTCAGTTCGTAGATAACCATTATTCAGTGAATTACATGTGGACATGACACAGTTACACAATAAATGAATTAAAATCTTCAAATGTTTTGTCTTACAGGATTCGATATCCAATTCACTAACAGCCTTGCATCTCATATTAATCTGTCCACTAATTTGTCTCACATTTGATATAAGAAATAAATTCGGTTATGAAATCACTCATGAATATTGTTTATTTGAAAAAATCATTCAACGTTGTTTGAGCATCAAAGTAATGAAAACCAGCATATATTAGGACAAGATGGATTGTGGAAGAATAACGGAGATTCACATTGTTCTCTTGACCACTTCCTCATATCCTTACTTAATTGTCAAAGTCATTGTTAATATTTAGACTATGCTTCTAATTTTATTCATTTGACTAGATTTGTTCTGTAACATGAAATACTTCATTCACGAGTATAACACCCGTTATCATTCTTTGCGAATTGCAATACTATCGGAGGTGATGAATTTTTTATCGCATTTCTATATCTAATTATTTTAACTTAGTCACAAACAGGACATGGATGTTCCTGTGATTTCCTCATTGAAGAAACACAAGTTCAGTGTACTGAAGGTGAACAATTACATATTCTAGAAAACACATTTAGAGATAAATAGAAAGTGGTGGTGAGTATGAGTTCTAGTAAGGAATGTCAGGTTATATCTATCATATTCATTAATATCACGAGAGATAATTCAAGTAAAACTACCTGCTGTCTGGTATGGTATCAACTTATCACAATCTCTGAAATTGCGCCCAGACGTCATATCTAATTAGAAAATAAAATAAAAAATGAAAAACAAATCACTTCACTATTTGCATATTCAGTCTGATTAGAAACCATATTAATCTGGAGTAAATAAATTGTGATCAGAGATGTATGGTGACTGATGGAGATGAAATAGACTTCTCAACTGAATGTCAGTGTATACTGTGGTTGATATTCATTTCGAGATTCCGCTAGCTACCGTCCATCTCTGCTAGAATCACTTGTGATTTAGCGAAAACATCGAGGTATTCCGTACAGGTAACACAAATGTCGAAACTGACTGATAAGTTGTAGTCTTAAACACCAATGGGAAGATGCAGATAATGAGTACACACAAACTGAATAAATTCTAATGTTGAATGTCATCTCGCAAACTCATTAAAAGTTTAAGATGCCCTAACAAAACTTCGGCTCTGTGTACCTATATTGCAAAGAATCTACATACCATTCGGCAAACAATTAAGAAGAGATGAAAATGGTGAAGATTTTCACGTGATCTCAGATAAACTACAGATGTTAATTAAACACTAGACTTCGCATGCTGTAATTAGCATTGAAGACACGGAAATAAAATGTATACAGTAAAGGTTGGGGAATGCTATAGGTGAAATAAATTTTCTTTCATTATAATCACATAAACGACGTTTATACAGCAATACCGTCCTAATGCTTAACACAAAAACACTACTTGTTGTGAGCTAGACGAACATCATGATATACTCGACAGACGCAAGTGAGATTGTGAAAGAATTCAAAGAGTGTTATCTACAGAGCTACTGACCAGCAGTCATTTACACTGTGTTTCCGTTTGCAAACTATCAAAACAAGCGTAGTTATTGATAAGCAAACAACATGGATTTGATCAGATGAAAATACAAGAAGTGCTGAAATATTTGAGATGGATAGGAATAAACTGAGTGCAATTCAATATTTTTGACTTACTTTTAGAGTGTTCAGCATTTTCCTTAAAAGTTGCTTCCCAATTCCATGGATCGAAATTAACAGACGCTGTATAGAAATAGAGAAGTTGAACAAATATCAAACGAGCACATAGTACGGAATTACCACATTTGAATTTATAATAATAAGGGTTTGAGATTCCTCATGGACAGTATCCAGGATCGAATTCGTTGGACCTCTATTGCCGTACGAGATTTCCGAGTGTTTTATCTGGAAATTAGATCATGATATGTCTGACATTATGAGATGTGTGTAACTCTCATTTCTTTAAGCGTGCGATCCGTCATCCGAACTCACATTTTCTCCGTGTTGATGTTCCCAAAGAAACTTCAACAGAGTTCCCTTCAAAGTGTTGGTTTGGGTCGACAATTCGTCTTTTCGGGCCTCAGTGTGAACATTACCATTATGATCGAGATATATCCATCTTACTAGTCTGAAGTAGGATAAAATGGAGGACATGAATTTTGTTGTTAGACAAATACTAGATGTCAGTTCGGGGAGCACAGATTGTTGTGTTTTCGATTGACATCATCAGCCGATCAATGTTAGAACACTAATGCTGATTATATCAAAGCTTAATGTACAGTATCATTCATTTTCAAAAACTTTCAAAGTTATACCAATGGGAGTTTCACACTCTTCACTTCACTTCATAATGTTAAGAGAATCATTCTGCAAAGTATGTCATTGTACTGCAAATGTTGAAAGCTATTCGGTTATTAAACAACCTACAATACTCTGCCTTGTATTTTTCCTGCAAATTTTGGATAGCTTTATAAAGCATGAAAGCAGATTACAAATGAAGTTGGTTTCATTATGGGTGTTTATGAATGAGTTATATCTGATGAAGTGATAAATGAATGTGGTTTGATGGACGACTGAGTATATTGCTCATTGGCTGGACACGGAAATATGGACCGATGGTGAAACTATTGGAATTATTTCGACTACTCGCTCGACACGTGGTGAAAATCTCAATAAACCATTCGACAACGTTTTACTTGTCTAAAGTCTTGGTGTTCACCACGATATTTGCGTGTTCTCGATATGTTGTTCATGGGTGTTGATTACAAGCTCCGTTGAGAGTCCTCAATTCCTTAAGACGATTGTTCATTATTCTTCGAGTTATGTTGGTGAATAGGAGATTTTGGGGCCTAATGAAACATCTTTTTTCACCTTTTCGTCAAATGACTACTTCTACAGTTTATTTGCTCACAATGTCATAATGAAACTTACACTACATTAAGTGTACTAGTTGTGATGCAATTTCGCACTCACATTCCGATTTGATGATTTATTTATGATATATGCTAGAGAATTTATCATACTTGGACAAATGGAAATATTGAGCAAACACATCAAGATTCAACACTTCAATGTAGACTATCCAGTCATAGAAGTAACTTCAGAAACCTCACATACTATGAAACGATTTTACCAGAATGTTATGCCTGTACTTGCTGTCGGAGAGGAATGGTAGAATTTTGTCAGAATTGTCAAAGATAAACTACAAGGTACCGGATTAGTCACATCAGCCATGTTGCAATCGTATTATGTAAGGATGAAATCTTCGAACGTTGGACGTTGTTCACTTTCACACAAGAGATGTATTCGCTGGTAATTGGGTTCAAAAAATCAACAAGGAAGTGAAAAGTAAAGAAATAGTGATTCAAAATTAAACCA